ATGACATCCTGGTGTCCCCATGACCAACCCAATGACATCTTGGTGTCCCCATGCCCAACTTCATGGCATCCTAGTGTCCCCATGACCAACCTCATGACACCTTGACACCCCAATGACCACCCCAATGACATCTTGGTGTCCCCATGACCAACCCAATGACATCCTGGTGTCCCCACGACCAACCCAATGATATTTTGGGGTCCCCATGTCCAACTTCATGACATCCTGGTCTTCCCATGTCCAACCCAATGGCATCCTGGTGTGCCCATGACCAACCCAATGATATTTTGAGGTCCCCATGACCACCCCAATGACATCTTGGTGTCCCCATGACCAACCCAATGACATCCTGGTGTCCCCATGACCAACCTCATGACACCTTGACACCCCAATGACCAACCCAATGACATCCTGGTGTCCCCATGCCCAACTTCATGGCATCCTGGTRTCCCYATGTTCAAGTTCATGACATCTTGACACCCCAATGACCAACCCAATGACATCCTGGTGTCCCCACGACCAACCCAATGATATTTTGGTGTCCCCATGTCCAACCCAACGACACCCTGGTGTCCCCATGCCCAACTTGACGCCATTTTGGAGTCCCCACGCCCAACCCCACGCCATTTTGGAGTCCCCCCCGCCCAACCGCACGCCGTCCCGCTGTCCGCAGGCCTGTTCCAGAAGGCCATCGCGCAGAGCGGCACGGCCATCTCCAGCTGGGCCGTCAACTACCAGCCGCTCAAGTACGCGCGGCTGCTGGCGGCCAAGCTGGGCTGTGAGCGGGCGGACACGGGCGCCGCCGTCGAGTGCCTGCGGCGCCAGCCCTTCCGCGCCCTGGTGGACCAGGACGTGCAGCCGGCGCGCTACCACGTGGCCTTCGGGCCGGTGGTGGACGGCGACGTGGTGCCCGACGCGCCCGAGATCCTCATGCAGCAGGGCGAGTTCCTCAACTACGACATCCTCATGGGCGTCAACCAGGGCGAGGGCCTCAAGTTCGTGGAGGAGTCGCTGGAGAGCGAGGACGGCGTGTCCGCCTCCTACTTCGACTTCACCGTCTCCAACTTCGTGGACAACCTCTACGGCTACCCCGAGGGCAAGGACGTGCTGCGGGAGACCATCAAGTTCATGTACACGGACTGGGCGGACCGCGACAACGGCGAGACGCGCCGCAAGACGCTGCTGGCGCTCTTCACCGACCACCAATGGGTGGCGCCGGCGGTGGCCACGGCCAAGCTGCACGCCGACTACCAGTCGCCCGTCTACTTCTACACGTTCTACCACCGGTGCCCGGCGGAGGGGCGGCCCGAGTGGGCGGAGGCGGCGCACGGCGACGAGATCCCCTACGTGTTCGGGGTGCCGCTGGCGGGCGCCAGCGACCTCTTCCCCTGCAACTTCTCCAAGAGCGACGTGCTGCTCAGCGCCGTCGTCATGACCTACTGGACCAACTTCGC